AAAACCGAATGTTAATGTCACTGGCATACACCAATTGAGGATGATTCATGGATTCGAGGAATTATGTGCCACTAAATTTTATCAAGAAAATAGGGATATTCTCTCCCCCTTGATAGAATACTTTGAAGAGGCGTGATTGAAAAAATGGTAGTGATGGAGAAGAAGTTGCCAATATTTAACATTTCTCTATGGAATTGCTACGAATCGTCACTATCTCGTGAACCTAATACTAATAATTCAGTAGAGGACTGGCATCGAAGTTTTTCGTCTCATATAAGTTCCCATCATCCAACGATCTGGAAATTTACAAAGAGTTAGTAATTATATTATATTATAAATGTAGCATTTTAAGTTTTAGCTCTCAAAGACGAAGATAGCCTGAATTGTTACAAATTGGAACAATATTCTTTAGGACTATTGGCTACGCTCTCAAAGAAAGAATATCGCGAAAGATCCAAAAGGATTTTTCTAATTGTTGAAAATTTTTATTCAAGAACCATGCTGGACTATTTACGGGCTTTATCCCATAATTTAAATTTAAATGTTTAATTTAATCATATAATTGTATTTTTTTATATTGGTTTATTATTTATACTATGTTTATTTGGATTTTTTATGAATAAAAATTTATTTGATATTTCGAAATGAATATTGCTAAGCTCAGTATTCAAGGTTTATCTTATAAAAACTTCATATACAAATAGTATTAAACATATTCTTTAAGTCACATTGCCAAAGTAACTTTTAACAACATATTTTATTTTGTATTCTTATCTTTAAAAATAAATTTCGTAAAATTCCTTACAAATCATGTCAAAATTTGGTTCATCTCTTAGTGACAAATAACCTTTAACTTAAGAATGGATTATCCGTGTGTCCCATCTATAATTGAAAATTTTTAGGAAGAATAATAATATAAGTAAGAACTAAATAAGTTTTGCTGAAGTTAAAAAAAACTTATAAATGAAAATCTCTACATTAGTTTTGTCAAATTAAGTGTATACCATTAACTACACTTTTGCTAAAAAATATTTATAACTAGTTACATTTACAAAATCGTAACTGTAGCTGAAGTAACTGCAAAAAAGGTAACTAGTTACTTAATTTAAATAAATATAATTAAATAATAAATTTAAATTTGTAAAAATTTTTTATATTCTTTTACTATATGATTTTCCTAATCATGTCAAAATTTTGTTCTACCATTAATTCATCTAATAATCGAAAAACCTGTGCAAAGATAAACAAATAATTTTCTGTACCGATTGTAAAATTCAAAAACTACCCAATTATTCTCTTATATAAATTAATTCTAATATATAATACTATGTCAAATACTGTAATTTTTTTTCCTATGACTATATATAACATTTTTTTATAAAATATTCATATTCTTAAATAAAATTCTTTATAAAATAATTCTCTATAAAATAATATTCTTTATAAAATAATTCTATAAAATACATTCATTATAAAATAATACTCTATAAAATAATTCCCTATAAAATACATTCATTATAAAATAATTCTATAAAATACATTCATTATAAAATAATTCTCTATAAAATCATTCTCTGTAAAATCATTCTCTATAAAATCATTCTCTGTAAAATCATTCTCTATAAAATCATTCTCTGTAAAATCATTCTCTATAAAATCATTCTCTGTAAAATCATTCTCTATAAAATCATTCTCTGTAAAATCATTCTCTGTAAAATTATTCTCTATAAACGACATTCTCTATAATTGTTTTCTCTATAAGTGCATTCTCTATAAACGTCATTCTCTATATAAAACTTTCTCAATAACGACATTCTCTATAATTGTTTTCTCTATAAGTGCATTCTCTATTTTTGTTTTCTCTATAAAAGTTTCTCTGTAAAATACATTCTCTGTAATGGTTTCTCTGTAATGACGTGGAACCGATACGTACACGCCTGTTTTAAATGCATAAAATGATAATATTTAAAAGTTTTTAGTTTTACATTACAATTAATGATTTATTAATAATTTTATATGACTAATGATTAAAATGTTATATCCTGAACATGTGCTCCTTTGAAAACTTGCATATTATTAATTAATCCTATACCAATCTTTCTAATAAAATTCTACACAGTAAAATGAAGTGTCAGCTGCTTTTCCTATTTACATTGGGGTCTAACTTATTGCTCGCCAAACCCAATGACGATCTGCACCTGTCATGGACTTCTTTAGGAAATGGTTTCTAAATTGGTTTTCAGCGTCTATTCACGAAAAAACTTCCATGAGCTTTGGCTACGCCCAATGGGTTCGCATCAATGGTGATTGCAAGTCAGGACCTCATACTAATCTCAATTCAAAACCAACCCTAAAACATTTGATTCAAGTTGATTTCTCGAACGCTTAAACCACTCTTACACGATCACCCTTTTATCATCTCAAAGCTTCCCCTACTTTTCCGCTACATTCACAACTGCTATCCAAACCATATATACTGCAATACAGTGAATACTCTATCATCGTCTGAAATGATCCACCAGGCCATATCTTTTCATCCATTTTATTTTGCCTCGGAATTGACAGTTTAGTAAATCAAATAAACGTTATTTGTTTAGATCTTCATTTCGGATAGATAGGATGATAAGTGGTAATCCTAAAGAGGTAGCCAAAGCTATAACTGGCCAGCCTTGGGCCTTCATCTTAATGTATGCAAAACAATTTTTGCTTTTCAACTGTCCACTACTCAATAGCTATGGTTTCCATGAGTCGCAATAACTAACCCAATTTGGTTCTCCAGTCTGATGGGAAAAGCAGTTGAAGCTTCTTCCGAAAAGCCTCAAATAATCTGACAACAGGAAAATATCTTTTACCCATTTTCAGCTCATATTTCTTAGTTTTTAATTAACTATATCCCGAAAATACTATATACAGATGCGCTGCTGACCACAATTTTTAAATACACCACATGACTAAAGAATTAAGAAATAAAAATTTACAAAAGAATGGGAAAATCACCAAACCTTAAATTTATCTCTAATTTCTGCCTCCCAGCCACTGTCAAGTCAAGCTTTAGTTACATATATCTTAGTTTGTATACAGAATTTCACTAAAGGAGTCCATTGAAAATAATATTTTTGATATGATATGAAATGACTCAGAGGCAATTTTTATCTCTGCTTTTCCAATTTGTTGTCTCTTAAAGTTTTAACGAAAAATATTGTTATCTTATCTTAGTTTTTAATTAACTATATCCCGAAAATACTATATACAGATGCGCTGCTGACCACAATTTTTAAATACCACATGACTAAAGAATTACGAAATAAAAATTTACAAAAGAATGGGAAAATCACCAAACCTTAAATTTATCTCTAATTTCTGCCTCCCAGCCACTGTCAAGTCAAGCTTTAGTTACATATATCTTAGTTTGTATACAGAATTTCACTAAAGGAGTCCATTGAAAATAATATTTTTGATATGATATGGAATGACTCAGAGGCAATTTTTATCTGCTTTTCCAATTTGTTGTCTCTTAAAGTTTTAACAAAAAATATTGTTATCTTTATCTCATAGTTTTTTTCACAATTAAATACATATTTCTGAATATTTTTTTAGTCTAATTTTTAAATATTTAATATTCTCGAAATTACTAAATAATACATACACCCAACAATATTTCATTTGTTATTACGAATAGCTAGTTAATTTATGTATATAATATTTGACCAGTACTAAGGCAAAAAAGTGAAAGGAGGTTTCAATTGTTGCCAGGCCTTCGGCCGTTCCCTCCTTTAAAAAATTCTTATAAATTATTGATTTTTTGGTGGTCTTTATATAATCTCCGTCATAATTAACTGAACAAGCCCTAATTCTAAAATATGGCGCGTTTAGTAGATAGTATAAAGAAGAAAAAATTGCCAAAATAGATTTCGTGCAAAAATGAAAAATATAAAAAACTATATATCTGGCGCACATCAATGTTTAATACCAAACTTGTACTTTCAATTCCTCAATCAAATATCAGAACCACAAAAAGAAACTTAGTTATTAACAAAATAAAAACTATGACGTACGTTTTCAGTATGAAGTGAGCCATGCTTATGGAAACACTAATAAGAAAGAAAGAACTTATACTAAACCATTAAGTAGGACTTTATTAGTATATTTTATGACTTTATTCTCTTTTATAGTTGGTATAAGGAGGATAAGAATTATTGGTAAAAAATAAAAAAATTGTCAAAATTAGCATCATGCCAGAACGGAGAATATAGAATAGCCATCTGGTTTGCATTAATATTTAATGCCTCATTTATTCTTTAATCAATTTTGTCAGTCATTAAAAAAGTAACTGAATTATCAACCAAAAATTAACTATGATATCACACATCTTAAGTAAAGTTAGCCAAACATCTGGATGCATTATCTCGGAAATTTATGTCAATAATTAGTACGTATTTCATACTTCTTTAACAACCCGTTTGGTAGATAGTTTTAAAGTAAAACATTTTAGACAAAATAATAAAAAAATCGCCACGATTGGTATCATGCTAGAAGGGAAATTATAGAAGTAATGAACAATATGTGATACATGATTTAGTAATTATTAATAGATCGATGAGTTTTTTTAGCCAATAAATGAAACCCAGTTATAAGCGAAATAAAAATTATAGCACGTCTTCGGATGAATCTGAAAATTGAATTTTAAGTTATGATTCATTATATCTGAATACATTTAGGTTTCATTTTCCCCAATTCTATTTTTGAATCTTATAATTCTATGATCTTCATATGTGATATTTTTTCACTCAGCTTGTTTAATAATTATATAAGTAATTTAAATCTCATTAAATTTTAAATCGAGTTATATTTTCAAAAATTTAATATAAATCTGATATTAAGACGCAGTTCTAAGCATGAATTTGCCAAATTTTTATATATTACATTGATAATATAATTTAATATTTGCAATTAATTATAATACGCAAAATTATTAATAAAATAATCTTGACATATTTTAGTTAGCTGCCCAGATATGTAGGCAAGCTGGACTTGTAAAATTGCCTGGAAAATCTGTCCTCGATGATGACAAAGAAAACTTTGCTATAGTATTCGCTGCTATGGGGGTATTTATATAATTTATTTATCACTCTGCTTAAATATATAAAAAACTACCTTCAATTTCTCATGACCAAAATTTTTTTGAAATTAAAAAAATACATGAATGACTTTATTTTTTTAAATAAGCTTTTAAGATATTCATATACAAGAAAGTTAAAAAATACAAACTTGCTAGTTAATATACAAAATAGCAAGTTAATTTTTGTTGTATGATATTTGTCTAGGTTTTAGAATTAAATTTTTTTTTAAAGTTTTAAATTGATTTTTCTCCCTTTAGTTTTGTATAATTTCCCCATTTTATGTATATTTCAATTTGATTTAAACTTAGTTTTTTTTTCCTTATTTCCCTTACTTTTGTTGTTTTTACCAATTTTAAATATTATATTCCAACTCCATTTTGGGACATTTTTGTATTTTATTTATTATTTTTTTATAAATTGATTTTTCTTAATCTTCATCTAATTTTGCATTTATATATATTTTTTTGAGCTTTTTAATCATGATATATCTTTATTGTATCATTTATTTAAAATTATTATTTTCTTTATTATATTTATTTTTTCTCCCTTTTCGTCTACATATACACCCCCCCCCCCCCATTTTATAATTTTATTTAACTTAAATTTTGATTTTTTTATATGTATTATATGTTACAATGTTCAGGTATACTAACTAATTCACTAGCCACTCTTGGCATTGTACTTTTATTTTGGTAAAAATCCAGACACTATCAAAACATAGATCACATAAGTCGGATTAGTTTCTCGTAAACACATTTGACAATCTACGTTTCAATAAGATAAAAACTTCTTGACTCATACTGCCAACACATTTCTTGTTCTTATTTTTATGATAAAAATTTGTAACATAAATTAGAACCATACTTTTTGCTTCGCCGGTGATTAAAGTTATCTTATGTTGCAAATATTTTCTTGACTTGTTTCAAAATCTTAACTACTAATTATTTTTTAATTTGAACTACATTCAGAATCTTGTTACATAACCATTTGCCATGTATCCTATTGAAGCAACTTCAATAGTTAATTTTATTTTTTCATAAATTTTGCATTATAGCTAGTTTTTTATTGTTTACCACGAGAAAAAAAAGTAATTTTTAAACAAGGCATACAGGTTTAAAGAATAACGTAATTACAGAATAGAGAAAAGGAGGGTGCACAAGATACTTTGATAGGAGACTTTGATAGAAAATCGTTTTGCAACAAATTTCTATAGGTTATTCAAATTCAAGAGGAATGCTGCATAAAGAAAACGTTAAAGCAAGCTTAGATAATGCTTGTTCCATCTAATAGAGTTTCTCCCTGCCTGGGCATTGGCGTAACTAAATAGGGAGGAAAATTACCCTCTATGAAAAATTTAGTTTTGTAAATATTGTTGAATCCTATACTGGCTCCTCCCTCCATTCTTAAATAATATTTGATATGTTAATGAATCTTTTAAATAATTTTTATCATAAATTTTTCAAAAGAAAAAGCGTAGTCATAATTTATCCGGCTAGAGGCTTGAAAAACTAAGGCCTAATAAAAAAAACACCCCCAAAGTCCATAAAAATACTCTACATACCTATGTTACTAGGAAAGTAAGAAATTAGATTAGAATATGGATTCCCGATTTTGAGCATAAAAGTGGTAACACATATGTGTTAATATGTTTAAGCATTGTAACAAAGAAAAAAATATAAGTTAAGTAAACGAAATTTTAAACAATGAAATACTCAAAAAAGTACGAAAGTAAAAAAAATCAAGTTATTTAAAAAAAAAATGATATCAGGGATCCACGCTGAACCTTTAAACCTGTATTAAACGGTATTTTTATCGAATCTGAACCGTTTAATGATTTTTTTGAACCAAACCGCTTAGATACATGTAAACCGGTTCAAAGCTGATGATTTTGTGCTTATAAAATAATGTGAAAGTTATTTCTAGTATATTTCATTTTTTTCAATTTATATCCGAATTGTTTTAAAGATTATTATCAAATAATTTTGATTGATATGGGTCACTGTCTTAATAAATGATAAATCAAAATGTAATATTTTTGTATTTATATTTTTAATAAACAGAACTTGAAATTTGAACCATTATTTTTATTTTCAACCTAACTTATATTTGTTTCGGTTCGAGTTTCTAAATAAAATACACATAAGTAGATGTGAAAAAAAATTAAAAAATAGACAGAAATAGTGAAGGTCAACGGTCAGGATTCGGTTTAGACCGAACTGTGGTGGCTTGATCTATAAAATAAACTCGCTGTTTGGTTTTTGCAATCGGGTTTCGGTTCGGTTGACTGATGGAAAATTAATAAACGAAACTAGTTTCTCTTTTTTAATTGCTATATTCTTACTAAATATTATATACCATTAATGGCGTTAAATAATGAGTCTGATATGGTTTTCTAGTTAGACTTGAGTTTGTTTCTGCTTTCCTTCTTTAAACACTTTCCTAAATATGGTAGATTTCTCAACTTTTCCTATGGCTTTCCCTAGCTACTTAAATTGGAAAGTTTACTTTATTGAAGAGGGAATCAGAAAGGCGCCCCCTCCCCTCTCACATCAATTTTTTTAACAATTTTATTCAATCCCTATTCCCTGAACCATCTTCCTCACCATCCCACTCTTAAATTTTTTTTCTTCATCAAAATATCTTTTTTTAAAAAAAATTCTCGCACAACTTTATATCTTCTCGAGAACCGAATTAAAATATAAACATTTAAACACATCTCTTTTAATCCAAAAATCTTGGAATTTTAATTGTTCCTTTACCTCTTTGTCCACCTAAGGAAGCCTTGGACCCACTCCCTCCCCACTTAATGTCAAATGCTTGTTTTCTTTCTTCGATTTCTTGTAATGATTTCATTTCATTGCTTATCGAGTTCAATGATTTACTTCTCGATTCGGCCAAACAATCTCAGCTCACTTTAGATATATCTACAAGGTTCTCATCACCCCGTTTCCAGCCTAAAGAGCTTTATAGTCCATGGTTCAATGTACTTTAAAAAAATGACCTGGCACCAGTTAATTTTTTTAGACTAATTTTCCTGCTAGTACATTTTTGATGTCTATATCTAATTTTACCAAATGTCAACTAAGGCTCTTATATCTTACTCTATGGCTATCTATTTTTATAACAATTTTTATAACTAAAAAATTTGGTTTGGATATCTTTTATGTATTTAATTGCATCATGTCATACATAACTTGTTTCATTTTTTGTGAATTTACATTTTATTTATAAGATTTAGTATTTTCTTTGGACAAAATATAAAAAAATAAGCATATTGTAATTTATTTTCCAATATTATAAATCAAAATATTGTCTTGAAATCTTGGAATTTAAAAAAAAAATACCATAATTTTTATTTCCAGATTGGTCCATAAATTTTTACGAAAAATCAAATTTGCGAGGCCTGGCCCGATTTTTTTAAATTTATTATATATTTTATTTTTTGAAAAAGCTCGGATATAGTTAAACTTGATAAATTTTAAATTGTAAAAAAATTATTCCTTCTTTTTAGCCTTTTTTTGAAAGGCGCATCATAAAGAGTCTATACCTTGTATGAGACGCATGATGGACGCTAATCTTAGATGTAACTACATACGTGGCTGAGGCCGGCCTGGACGGACGTATGACCTTCTATATTATAGAGTCGTTTTTTTAATATTCTCATTAATTTGTGAAATAAAGATTTAAAAAAATTTTTATATTCATTTTAAACTTAATTAATTTGAATAATTAAAACAATTTTGCAAATTTGTTGAAAGTATATTCTCTTTATTCGTACTTTGTTCTGCAATCTCATTTAAAGCAGCTAATGGTTATTTCAGAAACAGGCATATTGATGAAAATGTGTAAAATAGTTTTATCTGTTACAAATTACAATGTATTATGCAAAAAGATAAGCATATAACGATTTTTTTTGAAGACAAAATTAATCAAGGCGATAAAATTATAATTAAAGAGAAATAAGGATAAAAATTAAAAAGGATCTATAAAAAAGAAAATAGTAAAGAGAAACTAGAAACTAGAAACTAGAAAGAAGAAGAAAAGAAAATATAAGGAGGCAAGATTATTCGATGGAAGGAATAAAACTTAGGTAGTTAGAGCTAATAATCGCGGTAGCAAGCCTTTGCCGTAAAAAGAGAGATTCCTTGGGCTGATCAGTTTTCGCCATTCGTTTCCTTAATTCTTTAAAAAGGCATTAAGCTTTGCTGCCGAAAGTGGTAAGAATGAAGCCAGCTATTGGAATGAATGAGTAAGAATAATCGATGAAGCTGTATTTGATAATTTTCCGGTTTCTGCTGGGCGAGAGCATCTACTTTTTGGTTGATGCAGGTGAAGCCCAAATCAGAATACGGTTTCTTCAAGTCTAGAAGGAACACCTGCGAATTTAAGTGCTTACAAAATGATATCATTGCATTTGGTATGCCGCGGGAAACGACCTCGGCATTTAAGTGAGGCAATGTCTACCCTTACTATCTACACTAGTTTCATAATGTTGACATTGGTAAGGTCAATTCGTAGATAAGAACTTTACCAAGTTTTAAACCAGAAGCTGGCCCCTAGATTAAGTAATTGGGGACATTCCATTTGGATGTTTTCCTTTGGTTTTAAAGTTTAGATGGAATGCCTACGGATATAAGTGCTCGCAAAATGATGTCATTTCATTTGGTGTGCCGTGGGAAACGACCTCGACCAAAACAGCAAAGGAGGCAATTCTTATCCTTGATTACACTGGTTTCACAACATTGGTAAGATGAAACAATTTCGCAGATTAAGAATTGAATTTAAAATATTTTTTAGACAGTTGGAATTCCACAGAATGCACAAAAAAATCTAAATTTTTTTATAAAATAAATAATATACGAAAATTTTTTTTAGTGGGCATGCATCCATGGATTGAAATTGTATGAATATTTCTATTTAATTTTATAAATATTTTTTTATATTTTAAATATATATATTTATTCCGAAGGCTTTTATTTCTGTGGATTGTTTTCTGCAGTTTTTTATTCTATGATTTTTTTTCCCGGGATTGCATTTTAACTAATATGCATTTGAAAAATCTTATTAAGTTTGATATTAGGGCTTTATTTGACACCTAAGTTCTTATAAATCATGATAATTATAAATTTATGTTAAAATGTTTATTAACTTTTTTATTATCAGGATTAATTCATTTAATCTTTAATTATAGGTCAATATGGAAACAGCTAGATTTTTCAAAACGGATTTTGAAGAAAATGGTTCAATGGAAAGCGTGTGTTTATTTTTAAATCTTGCCAATGATCCTACGTTTGTATATATATTTTTTATATATAAGAGTCAATCTTTTATTTAAAAATATAATGAAAATAGAGAATAATTGAATATGCATTATTAACATCTTAGTAAGATGATAATTTTTTCTTGAACCTCAAACGCCTAAATCTTTTGTAAAACTTATATATTAGTGTTGCAAAATTACAAATTTGACCTTGTCAGAGCAGGGTAGGTAAAACAAATCAGCCCATAATCTTCAGTGTTCATTTTTCTTCTTAAACCTGGAGGCTGAACCGATTGTTTTAGACTAAGATCCTTTTGAAGTTAACTTCGGCTATGTAGAAATTTATCAACGTTACTCAGTCGTCATTATTTGGGAATTATATGATAAAAATGGTTGATTACAATATTTAGTAAAAATGATATGACTGACCATGATTTTGTTTTTTCAAATAAAGTGATTAAGAATTGGGTTGAATAAACAAATTTAATATCGATACATAGTTTAATTATTTTTAAAATAAATTTTGATTCAAAGCTCTACCTATAATAGTTTTTGAGCTAGATGAGGTTATGTGAAAGTTGTTTTTCTTGCCAACAATATAAAATACTTGTAAAAGTACCTATGTTAATATTTCTTCAATTTTTAACTAACTCAATTAATATTAACATTTCAGTTTATCATCAGTCTCATCTATTTTAGCCATAATATTTTATAAACTATTAATTATCTGTTTCAATATAAAATTAACCATTCATATATTTAACGATTTTATAAATTATTATCTTAAATCTACAACATTAAAATGCTTATTTTAGTAATTTAATCATTATCAATTTAAGAATCTATGATGTTAATAAACTTAATTAGATATAATTATTATATTTATGAGTACACAACAATAAGTCATTTTATTAATTTATAAAGTGAGGAAATTATAATGTATCTATTTACATAAATAAACATAAATCATTATTATTGGTACATTGAGCGTGAGCCCATTCTTGACAATGCATACATTTAATACATCCTTTTTTTCTTGCTCTTTTAATATTTCTCCTTGCATGTAATTCAAAGCATCATTATTCTTAAGATTTAAGACATTTTAACTCATATTTTTTCGCTTAATCATGTGCAAATATTCTTATCTAAAAATAAATGATTTTTAACATAAAATATAAAAATATATATAATTAAATCTATGATAATTATCTATTAGTTAATTCTAATATATTTAAATAATGCTCTAAATTTATATAATTAATAGATCTATAATAACTAATTATCTAACAGATAATTATAATTTGTAATTAATATCATTAAAAATGCTTTTTACATTTATAAGTTGTAACTATTTTATGCTAAACCCTATGAATGATTTGCTAGCTTGTATTATTTAATCTTTTAACATTTCTCCTGATCTTTGGCTATTATTTACTAATTCGTGCTTATGGATATTACAAGCCTATTTCTTATTATTAATTAAATTAACAAGTTTTTTTAACTTCTTATCAAATACAATATTATACAAAATATTTTCTATAATTATAATGTGATTTTTAATTTTCGTGGGAATGTTGCCAATTCATCAAGAATTTCGTTTGTAGTTGGAACCAAATCTCTGTGGATATTTAACAGAGCTAACCCATTTAGCCGAGATTCAGTACTTCGTAAATATGTTTTCAACCTTCTCAAGATGGAAAAAGTCCTTTCATTCCTACATGTTGTAATATGCAAACATGCAAGAATATAAAACAACTTCAAAATATTAGGAAATTGAGCCAAGGTTTCTTTACACCTATTGAGCGCATCAATAGCATGCTCAGGTAAAATAGCTAAACGTAGTAAATATTTATACCACAATTCGAATTCACTGATTAAATTTATTTCAGTATCAATCTCATAGGAATTAAATTTTGCTAAATATTTAATTTTACCAATAGTGGCATTAGAAAACGAAGAAGGATCTTTGGGTAATAAAACTTGAAGATTGCTAAAGACTTGTTTTTTATCTAAAAACCGTACTTTTATTTGCGATAAAAATGTATCTAAGAATTCTTCAGTTGAGCCGATATTTATTTTCATCTCAATAATGGCCTAGGTGCTAGACGAGGTTTAATTAGTGTTATATCATAAAATTTAGCCTTCAATTCAACGTCTAGATAAATATTATGAAAATATTTATCTACATTCATTCTTATTATATCTACCTGTTCATTTATATTTTCCGCCAAATCAATAACCTGAACCAAATCTAAATTTGGTTTTTGTAAATGTCTACAAAGTAGTGAGCTAAAAATAATTTATTGATGCAACTAGCAGCAATGATAAACTCTGATTGATCAATTGAATTCAATAATGATATCGCTTCTGTCGACTCATTACTTTTTTTCATGCTTAGCCTTATTTAACTTTTGTATTTCTATTTCTTCTGTTCTACAAAATGGAAGTAAAAATGAAAAATATTTAAAAAATTATAGATATATATTAATAATTAAAATATTATTAAAAATACTTATTAATTCTAACTGACTACTAATTTTGAATTTAATAAAATAAATATATATAATAATTAAATAAATTATCGTTTTATTTCAATCTTTTTGATTAAATATTTTTCCATTTTATTAATATTTTTGAATAATATGTTGGAAAATTGATATTCAAATATTTGTAGGGGGGGGGGTTAAAATTTTTATTATGAAATAGTCAAATTTGCGATGGGGGGATCCCCCCCCCATTGGTTACGCGCCTGTTGTATTTTTGCATTGCTCTTAAAGTTGTTCTAGGAATATTAAATTTAATCAATATTGATGATGTGGAATTTTTATTAATATTTATCAAATACTAATTGAACTTGTTTATCATTTGCTTTAACCAAATGTTATGAATGTATATATTGGCCAGGCAATACTCACCTGTCTATTAATATTTATATTAAATAAAAATTGTAAGATCTAAATCTTTTGTATGAACAATGTTAAATACCTAAGGATAATATTTATATAAAATATCAGTAATTTAAATTAGTAATTTTTTTACTAAACAAGAAAATGTATAACGTGATTTTTCTAGAAAGAGGTACTAAAAACAGTTTAAAATATTTTTTTATTGGATTGTTCTATTCAATAAATAAACAGAGGTAAGATACATATCATAAATATACACATTTTTACTAATTTTGCGAGAAATTGGTTCAATAAATAAAAAGTTAAGTAAAGGGTTGTGGCCATTCTTCAAAAATGGTTATTTATGCCACTTCTCCTCTCCCTTTTTTTAATCTAATAATTTAAATTATAATTTTGATTTATTTTTTAATTCAGAATTGACTTACCACACTACACATCATTTTTTTTTGTAAATGATAATATTATCATTTATTTAAAGTATACATTTACTTCATTATAATAATATAACTTTTAGTATCGAGAGAATTATCACGCCACGATTAGCATTGACAACAGCGGAATTTTTAGCCTATCAATGTGAAAAGCATGTTTTGGTGATATTGACTGACATGACAGCGTACGCTGAAGCATTAAGAGAAGTGTTTTTTAATTTTATAATAAATTTTATATCTATAGCACACTTTAAATGAAATTATACAGTGAAGTTATTTATAAAGATTAATTAAAAAATAAAGGACCTATTAAAAATGTTACCACAAAATTAATTTGTAATTTTTTAAACTTTTCTCCTTTTAAAGCTGATTCGATAATTTATAAACTTAAAGGTATCAGCAGCTAGAGAAGAAGTACCAGGAAGGAGAGGCTTTCCTGGATACATGTACACAGATTTGGCAACAATATATGAGAGAGCAGGACGGGTTGAAGGAAGAAACGGGTCTATAACTCAAATACCCATATTGACTATGCCTAACGATGGTAATTTTATTTTAAAAAATTTACTTATTTAATATTTTATTAACTTTAATTCATATCTAGGTCCTTGCTGATCCTCATTTCAGATATTAGCCCTTTACGCCATATCTGCCATTTATAAATTATTTTTTTGTATTTAATAATTAAACACTAATTTGCATTGTAACTAGTTTTCCATTTGGCATCATACTACTAATAACATTTATGGAAAATGTCAAAATAAGGCGATATCGTACCGATAATCTTAACACGAAATGAACTGGTCGATCCCATATTAAAAAATGGGTACAATCTACTACTCTCCTTCAACTTTTCTTATTTGTTTACGACCCATTTTTTTTTCTCGATTTTATTATTATTAATATTACCCCCTTAAAAGTTACCTGATATTATTCTCATTTCTGTAATCCTTATATTTTCGTCGCTCTATTGATTGCCCAAACATAATCATGATCCATGCAGAAAAACCGGCCTCACAACCATTATATACTTGTATAAGCAACTTTCATCCTCTATTATGTTCATATCTATTTTTCGATAATTGACCCACCTTTAATATTTAATTTTTTATTCCTTCATTAAAATTAGTTTATAGAACTATTATTTTAAAAATTACTAGATGGATAATTATTCCTGAAGTTCAATTTATATATTTTTTTTAAAAAATGGATGATTTATAATTTTTTAAAAAGAACAAATTTCTGTTTTTTTCTGTCAAAAGAAATTTAATTTTCTGTTTTGAAAAATTTCGAAAATGATAGTTAAATATTTTTTGTTCTGTTTTTTACGATTCTTACATTTGAAAAAAAACTCTTTTTTATGTTTTTTTGGTTATCCCTAGATATTACGCATCCCATTCCCGATTTAACTGGTTACATTACCGAAGGTCAAATCTACGTTGATAGGCAAATGCACAATCGACAAGTCTACTTTACTTTCACATTAATTTAAATTATAAATCAAATGTGTCACATGTTCTTTCATGGATTATTTTACAGTTATAATTCACGCATTAATTAATATTGAAGTGAATTTTTATTTAAATCCATAGATTTACCCTCCAGTTAATGTGCTTCCATCTTTGTCTCGTCTCATGAAATCTGCTATCGGTGATAATATGACAAGAAGAGATCATGCTGATGTCTCTAATCAATTGGTATCATACACTGAATATTTTATTAAAAGTGGAAATTTTTTTATCGAAATGGAATTCCATTCCATTCAAAAAAGGATAATAATCATTTGTTTCTAATTTTTATATAATTTTAAAATTAATAAATATTTTGCTAATTTTTCTTTATTTTGGTTATTTCAAATCATCCTGCAACATCAATTTTTTCCCATTATTCTATAACTTTTTTGTTATCATAAATCTTTTTTCTTTATTTATTTTTTAATTATTTATATTTCTGTTTAATTTTTATCATCTTTCTTCTATTTTCTTAGTTTTTGATCATTTATTTTATATTTTTAGGCTAATAATATTAAATTATTAAATTTTTAGAATCATTTTTGTTCTCTATTTTTATCATCCTTTTTCCGCACATTTGTCTATTTATTATAAAAATACATAAATGGAGATGGAAAGTTACTATTAAAACATTATTGGTAAATTGAAATTTAAAATGTTTTTATTATTTAATGATTATAGTAATTATACTTTTCCATTAGGTATATTAGAAAACGATGAATTATTTCTTTCATAATTCAAAATATTTTTCTAGACAAACCTTAATAAAAAATTGATTCTCTCTATTGGATATGTATGCTGTATCTAATAAAAAATAAAAACATTTTGCATTTAGCAATACTCTTTTAAAAATTAAATAATAAAAGAAAATCTAAAAGTATAAAGAACTGAGGAAAATACGAGACAAATCAAAAAATTAAAATAAGAAATTAAAAGTGATAAATAAATGAAGAAAAAGGATAGCTGATAAAAAATTGAAGTTGAATAAGGAGTAAAATTAGGAAAGATGACAAAAAGGATGGAAATATAAAAAGTTAGAAAATAAATAATAAAAAAGATTAAAAATAATATAATTTTAAAAAAAATGACAAAGAAATGCAGGATGTTTAAAAAAAATTCATTCTTATCCTTTTTTTCAATTAGACTATTTCATTATTTGACTAACCATTACTTTTCCTTTTTTGAATGGGAAACCCTGTAAATAAGTGTTGCAAAATCGATTTTTTCCAACAGAACTAGGTCCGTTGCCTGCTATCACCTGGATAATTTTATGATATTTATTCTAAAATATTATATGAATATAAAAATTTAGGAAACCAAATGAAACTGATTCAACCCGATTTCTAATTGTGATGTAAAAATAAGAATTTAATATATCAGGATTTAGCTTTCTAACTTTGTTTTTATTCATTTTTTACTTGATTCGAGGAGAATAGGAAATATATGCAGATTCTAATATTTTATTTATTTATAGGATTAATTAATAAATATGCAAAATCTCAAGTTGGACCGAGCACAGTTTTAGGAGATATGGCATTTTAATCATTAGTTAATTGTAAAAATTCTTAATAAATATTTGAAGCTTTTAAATATTTTACGTATATAAATAAAAGATCGGAAAAAGGGAGGGGGACGTTATTGTTAATTTATGTAATATATTTACTTCATTCCTAAAATTCGCCATTTGTTTCTTTTTTTTGACAGTAGATTAGAATCCATTCTATTTGGATAAACATATACGTTGTGAAGGCTTAAGAAATGTACTTCCGGTGGCTAACCAGAATAAATCATTAAAAATATAAAATTTGTAATATCTATCGTAAAAAATTATATACTTCAACCTATATCACATTTTCAACATCCGATGCTACTTTCCTTCTGTTATATCCCATTTATCATAATTATAATAAATAATAGAGACCTGCAAAGTTAGGCCCTGCCCTTCGGGCCGGACTCAGGCCTAATTCTATTTAAAATAATCGGGTTCGGGCCGGGCCGATGTTTTAAAAAAAATTCGGGCCGGGTCGGGTAGGATTTTGGGAATTTTTTAAATATATCTAAATTTATCAATTTTATATTGAATTTTTTATGTAAAATAAAAATTTTTGATTTTATTTATTGAAACTAAACGCCATATAACATATGTCTTTTATTTTGAGTAATTATAAAAATTAATTTAAATAAATTCGGGCCAGGCCGGTAAATTTTTTTAAATAAATTCGGGCCGGGCCGGTAAATTTTTTTAAAAAAATTTCGGGTTCGGGCCGGGCCAGCAAATTGTTTTAAAAAAAATTCGGATTCGGGCCGGGCTGGCAAATTGTTTTAAAAAAATTACGGGCCGGGCCGGGCTTGAAAAATTAGGCCCGATACAGATCACTATATTATATATCGTATTTGTAATAAATTTTATTTGAATATTATATGTTTTAATATTATATTAACTTAAAAGGTAATTGAATTAAATAATTATATTATAGTTTACAAAGTATATATATAATCAACATTTTGTAATGAAGATTATTGACCATAAACGTTTTAAAATATAGAACGTAAAAATTGGCGATAGATAAATATATGGGTCATATAAAATATTAGATAAAATTTTATAGTAATTCTTTTCTTTTTAAAAATGTTTAAAAATTTTAAAAATAATGGGTGCATATCCATAGACAAATTTGGAAAAGAAGAAACTTTTTTAGATGACTACTTAGACTATATTAGATATATGTTAGACATAAAGAATATTCCACAAACAGACGCGGCTCAAAAAATTTATACGAGACGCATCATTACGGAAAGCTAAACATTTTCCCCATTTGTTCTCAAAGTGAAGTAAAAGTGTATAGTACAAATCACAATAAAAATAACGACGGCGATGATTATTCAATGAAAAATATAAAATGGTGAAATACTCTATTACAATAGAGAAAAACGAACAATAAAAGTTACAATTTTTAAAATTCGTAGAATAGAATTTTTATAATCCTTAGAATATAGTTTTTAGATAATAAATTATTTTGGAATTTTAGAATAACATTTAGAATCTTAGAATATAGACTACATAAAATTGATGACTTATAATATTAGAATATAGGCCACTTAGAATTGATTAGAATTTAAATAGAGGCCACATGGAATTAATATAACGTAGAATTTAGAATATAGGTTACAAAGAATTAATTGTAATAAATCGAAAATGGAAATAAATATACAACATTAGATGTAAAAGACACATATTTATAAATGAATATTGATAATTACAAAAATTATTGATTATAGCAACAGCTAATGATACTACCACTTATGATTATAATTTAGTATAGCCACAGCACCAATAATATTTCAACGGTATATATGGTAGTTTACTGGCTGATTGAAAATTAAAGGTTTATATGTACGATGTTATAAATAAATAAAAAATGATATATAGCATTTAAAAGTAGAAAACAAGCATATATAGAGTTAATATTAGAAACAAGCGCAGGTAACTAACAAAAATATAATACAAAGACGAATTACCTATAACGTATATACAATAGCATAGAACTGAAGAACATTACAAGGCGCCGAGAATTTTACAATAGACAAAAAAGCAAAAGCTAATACATACGGATAATTAACTGCAAATAAAAATATATGAAAATAAAAGGACTTAAGCCTAATAACAAATCAACGATTGATACTAGGGACATAATATCAGCTTATGACTTCTATATAAATTATAAGGTAGGCATTAACAATATGAGTGCAGATATTTTATCACCAAAAATTAAATAGAGAAAAAGGATGGTAGAATAATTGAGAATAGTAATAAAACAAAGACTAAATTATCTTAACTTGGAAGAGAAAGAAAGGTTACAAGCTAAATTACGTTACAGCGTGGAAGAAAAGGAAAGATTCGAATCCATTATAATAAATGAATAAATAAGGTTAGGAGATTAAATAATAGAAACATGCAACAGCAATAAAGTTTCTAAGTCCTAAATACGATATCCAATGAAGGAACTAAAATATTAATAGACGAATTTGAACTTGGGGGAAAAGAAGATATATTATATCTCATAAAGGTTTTGTAATAAATTGAATTAAACAATTATAATAGTTTGTAAAATATATATAACCAACTTTTGTAATAATGATTACCATTGACCATATATCGCAATGCTGTTTTAAGATATAATACTTTCAACATCCAATGCTGCTCTTGAACATCTGATTGATTTAAATTATGGGCAAGATATCAGTTAAGAAGGAACCTGATTTTGGAATCAAAGCGAAATGACATTTTTTCGTAATGGCTCATGGACATTATCAAAAGGTTAGCAACAAAAGTTAACCTTCAGAATCCATATGAGAATCAAATATTAAACACCGATTTATTTAATTTTTGTAAAGCAAATTTCACTGGAATTATTTCGCATATGGATGATGGATATGGAAAAAATTAGTGTTCCTTAGACCGAACCCATTCCCTGATAACAAAATATGCTTTTATGCCTAGGGAAAATTAAAGTTAAATTATACTCATATTATGACAAATAATAATGCGATTTTTTTATATAAAATTAAACAGTGTCCAATAAAATTATAATCATAAATTGATTTGTATTTTATAGTTATTTTTATGAGGAGAGAAATTCATTATCAAATAAATTAACCAAAGCACCCCTCCCTCTCACCACAAAAAAACTTTTACAGAAACGTAAAATATTTGATAGCTTTTGACTTATATTACGATTATTGATTAATATCAAATATTTATAAAAAATATTTGCAATAGAATAATGATTAAGATGTCATATTTCCTAAACTTGAGCTCGGCCCAACTTGAAAATTTGAACATTTATTAATTAATCCTATATCGATGCATTAAAAAAATTGAGAGAAGAAAATGCCGATTTGATTTTATGATCATTTCCGGTATTTATTTAAAAATTTTAATATTATATAACTTTAAAGGACTACCATTAGACTATAGAAGTAAATTTAAATGACGATAGCCAAAGATATCTAAAATTGAAGGGAATGCATTTTACTCAAAATGCCCTATTTTTCAACATTTAGAGGTCCATATCTCAGCCGTTGTTTGGAATTGGAGGCTAAATTTTATTTTTTTCTTAGTTGTAATATATAAAAACTCGTAAAAATTTTAGAAAAATCTGGAGGGGTCAGGTTGAAAATCATGTTTTTTTGTTGATTTGTCATGAATTCATCATCTACTATATATATATGTATTTAATTACAAGGGAATTTACGGTTTATTTTTTCATCTATTTTTTAAAATAATTTTGAATCATACTTTTACCAAGTAACTTAGATCTAATTGATTATTTTATTATATATATATAGTACGCTAATTATGCCATCGGTAAAGATACTCAGGCTATGAAATCAGTTATTGGAGAAGAGGCCTTGACATCTGATGATCTATTATATTTGGAGTTTTTGTCGAAATTCGAAAAAAATTTTATCTCCCAAGGTATAATTCCTTTTATGTAAAATGAGGAGGGTACCGGTCAGAAAGATCCACATTATAGAATTTTAAATTTCAAACCATGATTGGGCGTAACGTTTTCCAAAAAATCCCCGGGATTGAATAAAAATCATTGGGCTTGATTAATTTTGTGCAAATAACGGAATATTTAATAATCCTTTTTTATATTACAATATATTTTTTTTATTAGATTTATAATATTTGATATAAACATCTTTCCTTACACATAATAAACTGAAAATTATATATGATAAAACTCTACCAGTTACAACGCTATTTTAAAACTCACACAATTTATCAACACGACTCTAAAACTAAAATTAATAATTTTTCAACTGCTAATTTTATTGGCTAACAAAATATATATCTACAAAAAAACATTTTATGAAAAGTTGTTATAATTATAAAATCTCGTTCCTTTTATATTTTTTTGGGACAAAGAAATCAGGAGTTCTACACGTGATATATAAAATCAGGCGACTATTTATAAATACGATAAATATTAAACAAAATAATTTTTAAAAATAAATATATTTTACAATGATAATATAACATAAACCTCATCCTTTTTCCCAGAATATTAATTGAGGAGGTTATGTCCAATTATTTTTATAAAATTATTAAAAAACTGAATATTATATTCTAATTTTTTAAAATTATAAAAAAAATTTGCTATTTTTGATTGAAACTTCTTTATTTTCATTTAAGGCTGAGGCCCTTATTGACTTTTTTATAGTAAAAACTGGACTTAGTAATTTTCCATCTTTTAACATTAACATCAAATATCGTTATAAGATTATGAGTTCGAAAATGATTGGCGTCAATGTTATAAAATATGAAAAAGTAAATAAGTCTAGTTTTTCCCAATAAATAATAAAATAATTGCCTCAGCCTGAAACTATCGAAGTTTGTCGATAAAATCATTTTTTTTTTAGAAAATTAGTCAGTAGAGTTGTGTCAACCCAGCCAGTTTTGTTTTTATAAGACAATTTATAATTATTTTGTTTGTCATTAGATTATGGAAATAAAAAAAGGCAATTTATAATATTTGATTGATAAATAACTAAATACAGATATGTTTATAGAGATCTATTAAATTTTATACAGTACTATCCCAACTCTTTACCAAATGCATCCGCCCAATAACCATAGGTTCTATTTATAGACAATTTTTAGCAAAAATGATAAGTTTCATATTAAAATTAAATCAACAAATATGCTAAGCATTTATCAATTAGGATCTCGAATAAAAGGTGGATGCCGAATGTAATATGAATTTCTATACAAAATCCTCCTCTCACTTTCATTATAAAATTCTTCAAAAAAGCTTTTATCCCATCTAATATTTCCTGATTATTCAGACCCCAGCTCACTATTAATAAATAATTAATATAAAATTATTTAAAAAATAATAGTTAATTTTTAATAATGACCATTTTATCATATTCATTGACCAGAAGACGTAAATTAAGAATCATAAAATATTTTGGATGATAATTATCAACAATTATTTAATTGCGGTAGTCTACTAGTCAATGTGGTGATCTAGCATAACATGAATTTGATATATTTATATATAGGAGAGATTGGGGTTAGTCGAACCGATTTTTACAAAATTGGCTATAGCTCTTGATTTTTTTAAAAATAATATAAAAAACAATATATGATTAGATACCTAAAACTATTCTCTATAAAGATGCCATAAAAAATTTTAAGAATATAATCATTTTTTAAAATATATTTTTTAACAGTGGAAATTTTCTTCAACAAGCCCCAATAGGGGGTGAGGCAAACCACTTCAAGGGACTTCCTAAACCATTTGTTTTTTAGGCCATAATGAATTGATGTGCATTTTGATTTATTAATAATGATACATATAGAATAATTTTATTGTTTTATTGTTCAAAATATCATAATACTTATAAATTGAAGCTAATTTTATATAAAAATTGAAACTTAACTTTGGTTAATTTAATTAAAATTTTGGACATATAAAAAATTTATCGAAGTTTGAACATGTTCCATGTGCCCATCCTTGGCACATTCTACATTGGTACCACTCTTCGCCGTTATGATGTCTTATATATTCCAGCTTACAACAAATACAAATATCTTTGTGATTAATTTTTTTATTATTATTTTGCAAATATTTTCTTTTTCCATCAATTTCTTTTCTTTCTCGATTAATTTATTTTTATAGGGAGATGATGTCAATATCTCGGCCCTTCTTTTCACTCTCTTGTCTATTTCTTTTTTGGAATGAGGTGAGGATATTGATGAATTGCTGAATGGACCAGGAATATCATCTAAATGAACATAAGAGGATGATGGAGCATCATTACATATATCTAAAGCTCCATAAATATTTAAAATATCTTTTTAATACCAAAGAGACCAAGATGATTCTAATATTTAGGTTTTAGAAAGTTCACCTATATAAGCCCCATAAAATGAGGCAATATAATCTTCTTTCTTGAATATATCTGGATTCAGTAGATATATTACACATGCCTTAAAACCAAGATGATGCTGCTAAAGGCAAGACATATCTAATAACAGAAGGAATATCTTAAATTGTAAAAAAAATTCCTGGATGCGATTGTAATATTTTTTGAGAGGCCCATAAATAGACCCATCAAGAGCTGATTTATGGGTGCAAATAGAATTATTCCCGTATCCATACAAAATTTGACAGCTGAATAGGAGTGATGTGATATATGATTGTCACGAATTAATAAAACTTTGGATACTGGAGTACATCGAGTGTGTTTAGAAAAATGTTTCTAAAAATAATAAAATCTTCCCAGGCCGTACGCAGGAATTTGGTCTGGGGGGGGGATAATAAATTTTTTTAAGAAACATTATAGTTATTTAAAAATATTAAACATAAATTTATATACACAATTTTAAATTATGTGAATTATAAAAAAAATTATATATATAACCGGCATTGAAAAACTATAAAATAAATGTGAATTATAAAATAAAAATATAACCACCATATGAATTACTTAAATGACCCAAAATTGAAATTTGAATATTTTTAGCCTTTAAAATTTATATATAAAGTATAAAAAATTTAAATGTTGGAAATATCACAAAAGGTTTCTTAGGAATAATTGTATTTTGTATATTTTGAGCTAATTTTTCAATTATCTCATCCTTGCTTGGCGTTAAATGCCTATGAATATTCAAAAGATCCAAACCATTCAATCTACTTTCAGAAATTGTACTTCATTTCATAGTTATGTTTTTCAGAGTCTTGCAGGCCCGGCCCTCAGGCCAGACCGTATTTTAATTTTTTTTAAATATATTCGCACCAGGCCCGAAATTTTTCTAAAAAAAACACCCGGGCTGGGCCTGAAAATATTTTTAAAAAAATATCCGGGCCGGGCTGTATATTTTAAAACCAAATATTTGAAATCGCCATTATTAGCTATAAAAATCAAAAATAAATATAATTTATTTTTAAAAAATTCGGGCCGGGCCTGAAAATTTTATTTTCAAAAAAGCCGAGCCGGGTCTGAAAATTTTTTAAAAAAATCTGGGCCGTGCCCTGCAAATGGAACCTCTGCAGGGCTATGTTATTCTTCTTAAAAAAAGAGAATGTTCTCTCATTAGTTTACTAATGGGAAGAGTTGCTAATATTTATATAACCATTTTATTTCATTGGGAATATAATCTAAAATGTATTTGGAATAATGCAAAGCATCCATAGCATTTTTTGGTACTGTATCAACCATAGTTATTCAGCTAATAAGGCATCATAAGATACTTTAACATCTTCATGATAAAAATTTAACAAATATATTTTTTTTCTATCACCATCTGAAAAAGGTTGGGAAGATTTTTGTGGAAGTAATATCTGCAAATTGGTAAGTGCTGCATGATGAATTAAAAACCATTCATTTATTTGGGTTATAAATGTATCTAAGAGAGGGGACATTTGTTTTATAATACTCTTCTACTGATCCTTTATTAATGTTTTGACGATGAGCTTGCTTGCTGCAAGTCGAGGGGGACAAATATTAAACACGTATAGCTCTGCTTTTGACTCAACAATAACATATAAAATCTGAATCAACATTAGCTCTAATTTCCTTGAGTTCTAATAAAATGCTCTGCGCTATTCTCATCTTCTTAATCAAGTCAATGTCATGTTTTTGAAAAGTATTACATAAAATAGTTGTATAATTAAATAATACATTCTAATGAGAAAAAAAATTTGTAATAAGTATTGAATCCGTGATATTTCAGTAATAGCATTAATAATCTGCTCTTCTAACTCCATAAAAGTTGTTACTGCTTGACGGCGGAGACTAGATCTCGTTGGACAAGCTTGCAATTTCTTTCTCCCTGTTGGACAAGGAGTTTCAGGGATAATTATTATTTGACTATAAATTTAGATAAAAAGTAGATAAATGTGAAAAATAAATGTAATTAAATATATATATATATGAGATAGGAATAAATATTAACAAATATATAAATTAATATTAACTTTTTGAAAAATATAATCCGGCATCTGCATTTTTTGGCTTTTTGGGGGTGGGGGATTTATCCCCCTGCCCCGTATGTTGCGTACGCGCCTGAATCCTCCTCTTGCATCCATCCAGAACTATTTAATACCCCTATAGAGCCAGATGGACCATCTCTAACAAAATTGTCATAATATTTTTTTCTGGGAAATAGAAACATTGGAGGAATTGTATGGCCAATAGCATTTACAGTAGAGCTAATGCAATTTAGATACCCCTTTCTGCTAAAGTATGGATCCTACCTGTTTTTGACCCTGTGCAATTATCTTGGATGGAGTTTGAACTGTGGGAAGTCCAGTTTCATCCATGTTGTAAATTGCCTACATTCTAATTTATATTCATCTAATATTCTTAAATGTTAAATAACCTTTATATAAATTAAAAAAGTGTATAACATTTTCTTCATTAAATCCAGTTACTCTATCCATACTAGTAGCCTCAGGGGAC